TCCGGAAACGCCCGCCAGCTTCACCAGCATCCCTGTAAAAATTAGGTTCCTGAGAAGCCTGAAGGGTTCCTTATGCCGCGAGGAGTATAAGCAGCCGCGTAAACATAACCGAGCAGCAGGTCAGCGTCGAGGACGAGGAGCCGGCCAGTGTCGCGGACGAGCAGCAGGCAAGGGACAAGAACGAGCAGCAGGTCATTGTCGAGGACGAGGAACAGGCCAGTGTCGAGCAAGAGCAGCAGGCCAGTGACGACGACGAGCAGCAGGCCCGTGCCGAGGCCGAGCAGCAGCCCAGTGTCGAGGACGTCACATAACTTCGTATAATGTATGCTATACGAAGTTATTACGGTGTCGAGGACGAGGTCGTATAACTTCGCATAATGTATGCTATACGAAGTTATTACGCGACACTGGCCTGCTTCTCGTCCTCGACACTCGCCTGCTGCGCGTCCTCGACACTGGTCTGTCGCTCGTCCTCGATACTGTCCTGCTGCTCGGCCTCGGCACGGGCCTGCTGCTCGTCTTCGACACTCGCCTGCTGCTCGTCCGCGCCACTGACCTGCTGCTGTACTAACACCGTATCGCGTACATTATACGAAGTTATACGATCGAGGACGAGCAGAAGGTCAGTGTCGAGGGCGAGCGGCAGGCCATGGTCGTGGACGAGCAGCAGGTCAGTGTCGAGGACGAGCAGCATGCCAGTGTCGAGGACGAGCAGCAGGTCAGTGTCGAGGACGAGGAGCATGACAGTGTCGAGGACGAGGAGCAGGTCAGTGTCGAGGACGAGCAGCAGGTCAGTGTCGAGGACGAGGAGCAGGCCAGTGTCGAGGACGAGGAGCAGGTCGAACTCGGGCCGAGGGCGAGAGAGGTGGCAGAGGAAAAGGACATGCAGGCCGAGTGCTCCCGGCGTTTGACCTTGACGAAAAGTTTAAAGTAGAGTCTCACCGCGGATCTTCATCTTTAACTGACTCGAGTCTTGTGCAAGACCCATGCCGACATTGCAAGACTTCTTTTTTTTTCAACGCGTGAAAGGACGGAAATAATACCCATTAATACTGGATCATTCGCGACCGGAACAAAAATGGGCGCAAAAATAAAAAAAGGTCCAAATTGTTCATTTCAAAATCATACGTTACGATAAACTGGCAAATAAATGTTGCTGATTGAATTTCCTAAAGCTGACTTTGTTCGAAATCCCTGGCGTGAAATTAAATAACAGAATGCTCTGTACACAGGAAATAAATATAAATAATGAATTTTATAAAAGTATCCCCTATTAGGGTAAGAACGACATTTTTCTTTCGTACTGTATCGGTCCGTTCTCTGTTAGCTGAACACGCAGGGCAAACTAATGAAAACCTGCCACGCATTTCCCCTTCACCTTTTTACGTCGCGTAAAGCACTCGAAGTATATAAATAGGGCATAGACAAGTAACTTATGGGGTTGTCGTATAACTTCGTTTAAGGTATAGGAGCAGGAGATAGTCGGGGACGAGGAGCAGGCTAGGGTCGAGGACGAGGAGCATGACAGTGTCGAGGACAAGAAGCAGGCCAGAGTCGAGGACGAGGAGCAGGCCAGTGTCGGGGGCGAGGAGAAGGCCTGTGTCGAGGACGAGCAACAGACCAGTGTCGAGGACGTCACATAACTTCGTATAATGTATGCTATACGAAGTTATTTCGTCCTCGTCCTCGACAATGGCATGCTGCTCGTCCTCGTCACTAACCTGTTGCTCGTCCTCGACACTGGCCTGCTCCTCGTCCTCGACACTGGCCTGCTGCTCGTCCTCGACACTGACCTGCTGCTCGTCCTCGACACTGGCCTGCTCCTCGTCCTCGACACTGGCCTGCTCCTCGGTTATGTTTACGCGGCTGCTTATACTCCTCGCGTCATAAGGAACCCTTCTGGCTTCTCAGGAAACTAATTTTTTTCAGGGAAGCTGGTGCTGCTGGCGGGCGTTTCAGTTTTATCTCGTTTTGTTTTGTATTTTTTTCTGAGTGACGAGTTAAGGAGAGGGCGTGTTTATCGCAGTATCATTTTTTTTTTTTTTTTTTTTTTTTTTTTTTTTTTTTTGTCTTCTGTTTTTTTTCCAGGATCGAGGTGTTTTCCCCTCTCTCCTTTTCTTAATTTGTGAATTGTCTTGGTGAATTCCTTTTTTTGTACTCCTCCCATTCTCCTTCGGCTTTCTTCCATTCTCTCCTTTCTCCCCCTTCCTTTCTCTCCGCTGTCGCAAGGCCCGGCCACCAGTATGAGCGTTCTCCTTTCTCAATTTTTTTCCTTCATTTTTCTTCCCGTGCAAGGAAGCCTTTCCTGAACCTTCATCCGGGAACCCTCCGTGCGTCTCTCGAACTGAAGGCTGTTTCCTGATGCGAGCCAAAGGGGGGGGGGGAGAGACAGAGGGAAGAGATAAGTAGAGACAAGAAGAACGAGAGAAAGGGAAATTGAAACGGAGAGAGAGAGAGAGAGAGAGAGAGAGAATGAGAGAAAAGGGGGGAGGAAGGGCGCCTGGGGCAAGTGCCATGGCGCACCCCCACCCCCCTTCCGGGCGGCAGGAGCAGCAGCATGTGAAGCATTTGTTGAAGCACGTCTTCCCTAACCTAATTAGCATGATAAGTAGCGACCCTCCAGCGTCGTTTTCCTTAAAAAATGTTGCGAGGTGGGAGTGGTGTATGAGGAAGAGGGGGGGATGAGTGATAGGAAGAGGAAAGTAAATATGATGGTGAGACTAAGTAGGAAGGACGGGATGGTGATGCTGATGGTGATGGTAGCTGAGAGGTGGATCAAGGAGCGGTGGAAAGGATAGCTTTTGGAGAGAGAGAGAGAAACGTGAATAGGGAGGAAGCAGGATTAAGGATGGAGCTTTGAGGTAAAGGAAGTAAGCTTGTTATGAGAGCGTGTCAGGAAGATGAGGAGATGGGAGAGGAGGAACATATTTGATCGGACGTGGTAGCTAAGAGAGAGAGAGAGAGAGAGAGAGAGAGAGATGGGGGAGAGGAATGCTGTAAGAATAGCATTAAGTGTGCGAACGTTGAAGTTCCCGTGTGCCCAAGGTAATTATATTTCATCAAGATCACTTTTAAAAGGCCGACCGTAAAAGCAGCGAGGAACAGTGGGTCATTTGGTGTCCATCTGACATTTCAATATCATTAACACGCTCAATACCTGGACCGCGGCAGCTTATGTGTAAAGTTGGTTGGCCGTTTATTCGATTGCGTTAATCGGCCGAGTTCGAACGGTGTGCCATGCTGTCGGAATGGGGGTTGGCACCGGAGGAGTGGGCGAGGGAGTAATTGGGAGTACTCGGAATAATCCCTCTGCGTGTTTCTGAGTTCGAGAGGGATGCGTCCGGGGAAGAGGGTCGTGTGAGTCGAGAGGAAAGAGCTGGGTGGCTGGGGAGGGGGCGGGGGGTCCCCTCGTGTAGTGACAGGCGACGGGGAGGGGGTATGCTGGCCTCGGACCCCAGTGCCCCCACCCTCGACCTTCAGATATGTCAGCCCTGTCGAGAGGAAGTGAGTGGTGGTCGTGTTTGTGTGAGTAGCTGAGTTCGACCGAGCAATAGTGTTTCTTCGGCGATGACTGATGGCATTCCACTTCAACCGACAGAGCTCGTGGCCTAGTGCTAGGTAACCATTGGTGGCATGTTCGTAGTTCCAGGGGAGACGGACCATAGCCAGAGCGAAAATCCTCGGGGAGACAGGCGAAGCCCGGGTGTCTCCCTCCTGGATCTTGCCAGCGCCAACCTAATTAATAAGGATCCCAGATGGATCGAAACGTTGTCTGACCTGTCAATAGTTCTCGAGTTTCATTTGTTCGATTCGTCATCTTGCGTGCCTGGTCACGACATTCCGAGTGCTCGGGAACTCTGGTGGTTTTCGGTGGTGCAGGTAAGGTAATGGCAGCGGAGGTGTAGCCCAAAGTTAATAATGCTTGCCGCTACTAATGCTGCCAATGTTGTTGTGGGAGTGTCGCGGGAGCCCATCGCCATCTGTTTGTGTGACAGGTGACACCTTCGCGGATTACAGCGAGGGCGCCATTAGTGGTTCGGCTTTGTATCCAGAGGAGGGGGCTTCCCTAGTCCCTCGATGACCCAATCCACTTTGCAGATAGGTCTATAGAGGCCTCCCTGGGCTCCGGTCCCCTCGGGGAGCGGACATCACGTGTGGAGCCAAGGATGAGAAGTGATCCGTGTAGACGGGTCGGCGTGTGGGAAACCTGAGACGACCCGGAGATGGTCAGTTGACATAACAAGGTATTGATCCCCCCGTGTACCAAGGTGCCAGTGCCGGGGTGCCGGCCGCCATACCTCTCTAACAACCCCACCGGAGGTCCCGGTGTCGCTGTGGGCGGTAATGAGCGGGGCGAAGCACCGCGGCTCCCACACAATCTTGTTCCTCCAGGCCTTTGAAAACTGGTCTATATTTAGCACAAGCCGTGAAGAAAATTGTAATGAAACACTCGAGTGTTGCGCTGCATGGGAGGGGGAGTCTCGGAGGAGGAGAAAGAGAGGAGGAAGATGCTGGAGGGGAGAGGGAGGCGAAGGGGGTGCGGTGAAGGGAACAAGGAGGTCCTTCAGGGCACTACAGAGGGCCCTTGACGTGACCCCGCCCAGCCAGACTCCCAGGACCCCGCGCTCCTCGCGCCGGGATCACGGCGCACGCGAGACGAGGAATTTCTGATCATAATTAACACCTTCGCCGTTGTTATTCCTCCGTATTCCGGGGCGGGAGCAGCCACGCACACGGCGGCCGTGGAGGAAGGTGGAATGGAGCATAACGCGGAGACCCAAAAAAGGTGGTGCTCTTCGGTGCTGCTCGTGCGTGTTGTTGGCACGGTGTCTCGAGCGACGGCGGGACCGCGACGGTGGCGGTGGTGGTACTGCGGTCGGCCATCAAGTGAAGAACGGGGAGGCGTGCAAGGAGCCAGAGGGTGTCGTCACATCCTTATCTCCCCACATGCCATCCTCGGCGGGGTGTATCTCACGTAGTCGACATCTAAGGCAGGCGAGCGGGATGGGGCGGGGGTGGGGGTGGGGCGGGGGGTAAGTTGAAAATGCTCTGGTATCCCAAAGTGGAGGTTGTACCACCTGACTCCATGCTCCTGTTAATGAAAATCATGACTCGATCTCAGCCAAATGAATAGGGTCTTGACACCAGATGGCGCTGAAGGTTTTGCCCGTCGCGCTGAACAGCCTCCGCTCGTCTTATATTATTATGACTCGCTTTATGCGGCCGAAAAGGTCTGCGAGTAAACATCATAAAGCTATTGAGTTGTATCCTCAATGTGACCCAACAAGTGCGTGAAGAGGGACTTGTCCTGGTGCTACGGCGTTGTGCCTTTGGTCCAGATTGAGTTGTTTGAGCCAAAGATTGCGCATCCACGCAGCGCCTGTATATTTCAAAACGTGACTTATGCAGCGGCGGCCGCATATCAGAGTTGTGTGTGTAAGTTGGCTTTCCTGCCGTCTGCTCGTCCCCCCCCCCCAGCGCCTCGCGTAGCTGAGGGGAAGGGGGTGATCTAGGCGCCGTGTTGTCTACAGCATCACTGTCAAGGTGTTTGAGTGCTCCCACGCTTCATTACCGTCTAACTTAGCATATCATAAGTCATTATCAGATACGCCCCCCTGTATATCCTCCCACGGTTAGCAGCGGCCCATTTTCTTCCGTTAACATTATTTTGCGAAACTGGGAATTGCAGAGACTCCGGAGTCGTAACCCGAGGAAGGGCTCCGAAGCTTTTGTAATTAGTTCGTGTGGAAGCCAAGGTCTTGCCGCGATGTCTGTTGCAGGGGGAAAGAGCGAGTCCTTGTTTACCGACGTTTATTCGTAAACGGAGGCTAAATCCTGATACAGTCGATACCCTGTGCTTGTCTCGGGTAATACGTGAATGAAGGGTACTGTGTGAGTATGCTTTGT